AACCTGTTGAAGCGAAATGGACACTATGAGAAACAGTGATTTGATCAGCTCTTGTCCTGACTGTTGATGTACAATGTAATACTTCATCCCTTTTAGTATTTTTTTTGTTCTAGTTAATACTATTGATTGAACTCTGTAATTAACACACAATTATTCTTAGGTGTTTAAATTTAACTGAATAATGATCCCTGTTAAATATAAGAGTGAGAATAAGAGAGGGAGGAGATGTACAGTTTGGGACATGCTCAATCGGACTTGCCCCAAAAGGTGGAGTTAGAATCATGCCAGGGGATTCCAATGCAATCCCATCAAGGTGGCATGTACCAATTCCATCTCACTAGTCCAAGTGATCAATTTTGGTTCACAGTTGATCACACTGATAGGTCTAAGAGTCAAAGGGATCACATAAACAAGACTAGTGTCTGCTAATACTAACTGATAGAATAAAAAAGGGGAGAATGATCCAACATGGGAAGCGAGATACACAGCAGACTCATAGAATGGCAGATGTCCTAAATAGCACTCTGGCCTCAGAATCAGCACTTAAGGCATTCGGATCCGACTGAAAAGCCCATGAAAGTATTTCAGGCATGGAAAGCCAAGATACTCTGGCAAAAAAAAAAAGCCTAACTGAAAGATCTCTGCGAGTGAGATCCCAGTGGAAAGAATGGGCCATCAAAGAAGGAGGTACCTTTCTCTGAAGGGAGGAGAGAACTTCCACTTTGACTATGACCTTGTCTAAATAAGATCGAAGTCAGCGAACGCAAGAGGCTTCCATAGCCTTGTCAACTCATGGCTAGAGCCTAGGGAGATTACTGACGCCATCAACAAGAGTGTCAAATTGTTAAGTCAACCACAGGAGTCACTGTGTACTTACTTCTCATGTGGGATCTGTCCTTAATGTGTTGTCCAATGTGAAGTAATGCTATAACTAGTACTGAAACAGTATTTTACACTTTATGTTCTGTGTGGGTGCAAACTGATGAAATCTTTATACTAAATTGATCTCTGTATATAAAGATAATTGAAAATGAATCTTGATATGAATGGAATGGGAGAGGGAGCGGGAGATGGGAGGGTTGCGGGTGGGAGGGAAGTTATGGGGGGGGAAAGCTATTGTAATCCATAAACTGTAATTTGGAAATTTGTATTTACTAAATAAAAGTTAAAAAAAGATTTATTTATTTTACTTGAAAGTCACAGTTACACAGAGAAGGAGAGGCAGAGAGAGACAGAGAGAGAGGTCTTCCATCCGCTGGGTCTCTCCCCAATTGGCTGCAATGGCTGGAGCTGCACTGATCCGAAGCTTGGAGCCAGGAGCTTCTTCCGGGTCTCCCACGTGGGTGCAGGGTCCCAAGGACTTGGGTCATCTTCTGCTCTCCCAGGCCATAGCAGAGAGCTGGATCGGAAGAGGAGCAGCCGGGTCTAGAACTGGCGTGTTTAGGCCATCTTAGTGCTAGCTTCATGGAGTTTGGCTTGCAAGCCTTGACAGCGGTTTCACAACAGAAAGCCATTCAATTCCGGACGCGCAGTGCATCAGAAGTAGAGGAAGTCTACACAGACCTGCTGTGTAGATTCAGGTGCTTTTCAGGGGGATGGGAGAGTGCCTGTAGTGCAGGAATTGTTTAAAGAAAGTACAGAATGGAACTCGAGATTTGAAAAGGCAAAGGCGGGTCAGCAGCAGGGCTGAGCCAGGATTCGTGGGGCTCCGTGCAGAAGGACAGTGCAGGGCCTTTGTGCAGGAATTCCTAGCAGGGATGGGGTGCGTTCAACCAAATCTGGGGCTCTTCCTAGCGGGAGCCTCAGTGGTGATGCAGGTCACACACCTGAGGGCTTGCCCAGGTGAGGGGCTGAGGGCCAGTGGAGCAGGAAAGGAGTGACTGCCCGTCCAGCCGTGAGGGTTCGTCCCGGCGCTCGGCCCCGTGCCCTGTCCCCGTCGGCTGTGACTGTGGCTCCTGGGACACCTCGTGCGGTTAGCTGAGGCTCTGACACTCCGGCCCTAGTCCAGAGAGCAGGTGCGATCCTCAGTGGTGGGCGGGAGGGAGGAGCTGAAGGCCCCGACGACCAGGGCCGGGTGAGCCGGGGCTCTGCGGCTTGGTGGCAGAGCCGTCACGTCCTGCTCCTCACCGACTCGCAGCGCTCGCTGCGGGCACGGGGGACAAGGTGATGTGTGTGTGGCCACGTTCCGGAAGTGGCTGAGTCTTAGGGTGAGGATCTCACAAGGTCAAGGCTCCCTCCTTGTCCCGAATGCCCGGGGTGGGCTATCGCGGACCAGGGATGTGCGTGGGGAGTCAGCCCACCTGGAGTCCGCCAGCTTCCGCTTGCTGCCCTGTGTCTCCTGCGGTTCTGTCGTTCACCCCAGGACTTGGTGGCTCGCCTGTCCTGTTGTTTCCATGGCACGTGAAGGATCGTTTTCCTAGTTGTTTTGATTTATTGTTTGTTGTTTACAGCCTCGTCTCCAGTAAAAGGGTGGGATTTCCTTCCCTACTGATCTGGCCTGTGTCCAGCTGCCTGTTTGTTTTGACTTCCTTTTTGTGGCCTGAAACCTCCCCATGACTGTGCTGTTTGTTCCTTGTGTGCGTGGTTGGCGTCCTGTATGAGCCAGTCTACTCCAGCTCCTCCGTGAATTGGGCGGGCTCTGTTGCCTCGCGCCCCGCAGAAGTCGCGATGCTCCGGGCTTCTAAGGGCTTTGGATGGTGTGGGTCAGGCTTTCCTCGTTGCTGCTCCCTGCGGGAGGCGGGCTTCTCACACTGCGGACCCGTTCCCCTGCCCTCCTGCAGACTCCGTGTCTGCTTCGGTTCCTCTGGGGGGAGGCTTATGTGCACACGACGCCCGCTTTCTGTAGACAGTCTCAGTTCCGTGAAGACATTTCCAAGAAAGCCAGTCTTGCTAACTAAGGAGCAGTTCCGCCTTGCGTGTTAGCTGCCTGGGGTGTGGCGGGTGTAGACTGGCCCCTTCTTTGAGAACGCACCGCCTGCTAGGTCGGTAGAGTTAAAGAAAAGGCAACTTGCATTTCACATCTGCTATTTCTTTTTTTTTTTTTTTAAGATTTATTTATTTATTTGACAGGTAGAGTTACAGACAGTGAGAGAGACAGAGAGAAAGGTCTTCCATCCAATGGTTCACCCCCCAAATGGCTGCAGCTGTGTCAATCCGAAGCCAGGAGGCAGGTGCTTCTCCTGGTCTCCCATGGGGTGCAGGGCCCAAGCACTTGGGCCATCCTCCACTGCACTCCCGGGCCACAGCAGAGAGTTGGCCTGGAAGAGGGACAACCGGGACTAGAACCAGAGCCCATATGGGATGCTGGTGCTGCAGGTGGAGGATTAACCTAGTGAGCCACGGTGCTGGCCCCTCACATCTGCTATTTCAATATTAGATCTGCTGCCTGTTTTCACAGTTTCTACAATGATTGAATCAACTGCTCGACCAGACATTTATTTAGTACTTACTTTGTGCGTGTCCCATCTGCACTCTCAAAGGCTTGTAAGACGGGGTGGAGACAGAGAGGAAAGCAAACGGATAGAATGAGGTGTTGCAGGTGGCACGGTGGACAACGCGGGGGGCCTTGATGAGCTTGGGGTGGGGACAACAGGTCACACTCCACGCCGAAGTGCCTCGTGTGTCACCCCCACACAGCTGGACAGAGTGGCCGAGGAGGCGGCAGTGCAATGCCAGGTGGGAGAGCAGCACAGAGGGCGTGAGAAGCAGGATTTTATTCTCCAGGTGGATGGCTCTGGACTGGTCGCTTCTCACCGCGGCGGCGGAATGCTGGAGGCAGGCTGACTTCTGGAGGGTGAGGTCCAGTCTGCTCAGTAGGTGGCCCCGGTGATGGTGTTGCTGCTCAGGGTCCTGAGGTGGCACGGGGTGTCGCACGGCAGAGACACGGAGCACGTGCGCCTGTCCTTGTCTGTGGAGTTTCTCGTCAAGCTGTCTCCACCCCAGCAAGCTGGAGCAGTCGGGTCACTCCCCATGACCTTGCCCTGAGACCGTAACTGGGTTGCGTTTCTGCCACCTCAGTGCATCTGATGCAGGCTGGAGACTGGGCTGGCACGACAGAGCTGCTGCTCAGGGAGGTCAGAGACTTGGCTGGGGGCGGGGAGAGCCCGACGGCCGCGCGATGCCGTGCCAGGCACGGCCTACGGGACTGAGCAGCGAAGCAGCAGTGGGAAGTTGTCACCTCGCGGGATTGGCACTGGCTTTCAGTATTGTCTCCCGGGAGGGCAGTGCCGCTAGCACACGCGGGAGGGGCTGGCAACACGGTGCCAGGTGAAGAATCCTACGACCGAACTTGTTGTGCGTGCCTAGCACAGATGCTTGAAGGGTCCCACTCCTGATGCCACTGCGGGTGGCTCCTGCACCAGTGTCCCAGTGTGGGGACCTGCCGGTGTCACTCAGACTTGCCCCTGTCACCACGCCCACCCTCCGATGAGTGATGAGATTCAGCAGCCGCCGACACTTTGGCTTTGCTTCAAAAAAAATTTTTTTTTTAATTTTTATTTGACAGAGTTAGAGAGAGACAGAGAGAAAGGTCTTCCATTTCCGTTGGTTCACCCGCCAAATGGCTGCTACGGCTGGTGCAGTGCACCGATCTGAAGCCAGGAGCCAGGTGCTTCTCCTGGTCTCCCATGCGGGTGCAGGGCCCAAGCACTTGGGCCATCCTCCACTGCCTTCCCGGGCCACAGCAGAGAGCTGGACTAGAAGAGGAGCAACTGGGACTAGAACCCAGTGCCCATATAGGATGCCGGCGCTGCAGGTCGGGGATTAACCAAGTGAGCCACGGCGCCGGCCCCGACTGTGCTTCAGCAGTTATGTCACGTTGTCGCCTCCCTGGAGAAGCCGTGTTTCACATGTCACAGGTGCCCTCGGAGTCGATGCCTGCTGCGATGCTGTCTTCAGGGGTCGGTCTCGTTACCCACAATCAAGTGCGCTCGCTTGCCTTCGTGTCTCCTTCTGTGGCCCTGCGTGTTTTAACCTGGGTCGCTCTCTCTCCTTCCACACAGATCTGCGATGCCCCCTGCCCGGCTCTTTCATGATGGATGGGACGCCTGTGGGAGAGCCCACCCATGTGGTGTCTAAACTCAGACTGTCCCCCGAGGAGGAAGGCACGGAACGCTGGCTGATGGGAGACCAGGCTCGAGTGTGGGACGCTTTAAAGACGGAGGAGGTAAGACGGCTCCACACCATGGAGTCGGCGGTGCTGGCTCCGCACGTGCTCGCGACCATTGTTCTCAGCGTAGCACCAGCACAGCTAGACGGGAGAACGGCAGGCCAGGGCAGACGCTGGTGGTGCGGGAGGCCAGAGCTCGGCAGTGTGTGTCGGCACCGGCACCCAGGTGTCTCCACTGACGCTGCCGAGGGAGCCCGGGTCTCGCCTTCCCTTCCAAGGCTGCCTCTCTGTGACTTCTCTCCTCAAGCCTGTTACCACCGAAGTTCCAGCACGCGTGTGTGTGCACCGTGTGTGTGTGCACTCTCTCAAGCCTGTTACCATCGAAGTTCCCAGCGTGCGTGTGTGTGCACCGTGTGTGTGCACTCTCTCTCAAGCCTGTTACCACCGAAGTTCCCAGCACGCATGTGTGTGCACCGTGTGTGTGTGCTCTCTCTCAAGCCTGTTACCATCCAAGTTCCCAACACGTGTGTGTGTGCACCATGTGTGTGTGTTCTCTCAAGCCTGTTACCATCGAAGTTCCAGCACGCGTGTGTGTGCACCGTATGTGTGTGTTCTCTCAAGCCTGTTATCATCGAAGTTCCCAGCACGTGTGTGTGTGCACCGTGTGTGTGTATGCTCTCTCTCAAGCCTGTTACCATCGAAGTTCCAGCACGCGTGTGTGTGCACCGTGTGTGTGTGCTCTCTCTCAAGCCTGTTATCATCGAAGTTCCAGCATGCGTGTGTGTGCACCGTGTGTGTGTGCTCTCTCTCAAGCCTGTTACCATCGAAGTTCCCAGCACGCGTGTGTGTGCACCGTGTGTATATGGAGAGAGATGTTTCTTCCTTGGTGGAAATTAGAAGTTTTGTGTCTGGGATAAACTCATGCCCGGTGGCAGGATACCAAGGCGTCGTCTTGCTGTGGACGCAGTGGAGTGGAGAGCGGTGAGGGGCACTGGAGAGAAGGGAACTGTTTCCTGTGTCTTTCAGGTGTGGCCTCCCCCATCTCTTCTGCTCTGCTGTGATTGGTGCTAGAGGTGGGTTTTTGCTCTTTAAAGTCCCACATTTAGGAGCCAGTTGCCTTCTGGCACTGTAAAACAACCTCCCGCAGAGAGAGCGAGAAGGAGGGGGCGTGGTCACACCCGCCTGTTCACGCCCTGGGTGCCCACAGCAGCAGGGTCCAAGGCTCTGTCTTCTCTGGGAGAGTGTCAACAGCAGGGTGCGGGTGTCCCAAGTGGTGATTTTTTTTTTTTTTAAAGATTTATTTGAGAGGTAGAGTTACAGAGCGGGAGGGAGGGAGGGTAAGAGGGAGGGAGGGAAGGAGGGAGGGTCTTCCATCCACTGGTTCACTCCCCAATGGCTGGAGCTGGGCTGATCTAAAGCCAGGAGCTCCTTCTGGGTCTCCCACATGGGTGCAGGGGCCCAAGTACTTGGGCTGTCTTCCACTGCTTTCCCAGGCCACAGGCAGAGAGCTGGATCAGAAGTGGAGCAGCCAGGACTTGAACTGGCGCCGTATGGGATGTGGGAGCTGGTGCTGCAGGTGGAGGCCCAGCCTCCTGAGCCACAGCCCTGGCCCCTCCAGTGGCATCTTAACCCCTGTGACAGACGCCCCCTCCAGGAGGCTTTGGTGCCCGGGAAAGAGTGTCTGGGGAAGAGGTGCAGGAGCGTGGGTGTGAGAGGAACGTCCGTGGCGTGGAAACGCGGGACGGAGGAGGAAGAGGGCTCTGCCGTGGCATAGACCAGCAGCTGGCATCCAGGCCGCGGCCCTGGTGACGCTGTCTGGGGGAGTGTGTGGGCTCTGGCCTCGTTTCACAAGCCTGGAAATCTTCTCTCGGGTATCTTGAAGCAGATCTGAATTTCTGGGCGCGCACATGAGTTAGTTTATTTCACTGGTGTATAAAAAGTAGACGGCAGTCCCTTAACTGACCAAGAGCAGGGCTGCTGGAAGGTGCAGAGTGGGTTCTCCGTGTGGGCCAGCACGGAGAGGAGGCCAGAGAAAGGCGCAGACGCGGATGGAACGCTGCACGTCCCTGTTGGACAGCGTGGGCCCGAGTGTCGGCTGAGGCCTTGTGATCGCAAGCGGCAGAAGTGGCACCGAGCAGGGCAGAGTGGGCCTGCCTGGAGGATGCTGGAAGGCCGCAAGGATGGAGAACTTGGCAGAGTTGTCCCGCACCTGCCCCGTGCTCGTCTCGGCTCAGGACGCAGAGTGGAGGAGAGCGGCCCTCGCTGCCGCGTTCACTCCCCTGTCTCTCGAGACGAGAACAGGAGTCTGCCTGAGAAGTGGTCACACCAGGCCTCACTGCACTGGGGCGTGGACTCCAAATTTCTGACATTCCGCATATCTTCTGCTTTAGGCCAGTGCCCTGATAAGCAGTGGGAGACAGGAAGTCGTAGAAGCAAATGCCGCCCTTTCTGCCGGGCGCTCCACAGCAGGTTCATGTTTCGTAAAGAGACCAAACACTGGGGCTGGCGCTGCGGCGTAGCCGGTAAAGCCGCCGCCTGCAGTGCCGGCATCCCATATGGGCGCCAGTTCGGGTCCCGGCTGCTCCACTTCGGATCCAGCTCTGCTATGGCCTGGGAAAGCAACAGAAGATGGCCCAAGTCCTTGGGCCCCTGCCTCTGCTTGGGAGACCTGGAAGAAGTCCCTGGCTCCTGGCTTCGGATCGGCACAGCTCTGGCCATTGCAGCCATCTGGGGAGTGAACCAGCGGATGGAAGACCTCTCTCTCTCTCTCTCTCTCTGCCTCTCTGTGTAACTCTGACTTTCAAATAACTAACTAAATAAAAAAAGAAACCAAACGCCATCAGCAACAGCTGGAATCTGTGCCTCCCACAGGCCCAGTGTGCTGCATGCCTGGGGCTGACCTGTCCTCCCGCTGGTCCTGGCCCTGCCAACTAAGTCGTGCTTTTGAAACCTCGTGTGTAGGGGACACAGGATCTGTCTACCAGACAGCACGCGACGTCTGTACGTGCATACACAGCGTGATGTCTCCTCAAGCGTGGACCCCTCCCAAGTCCTTCTCCTGGCTTCCTCAGAGAGACGTACACGACGTTGTTGGTGTCTGTAGCCCTCCCCCGTGCAGGGGAGCAAGGCTGTCCTCCTGTCTGCCCGGAGCCCGGAGCTGTCCATCCGCCTCTCCCCCTCCCGCTTCTCCCTAGCCTCGGCTACCGCAGCTCCTAGGAGGCTGCACGAGTGGCACCAGGTGACAGCTGAATCTGTGTCACTGAGTAACGTGGACATTCTAGTGACTGACAGAGTCCGTGGACGTGAACTCTCTCCCCACTTGTTTATGTCCTTCAGTTTCCTTCACAGGGTTTCATAGACGTCCACCTTTGTGATCAAATTTATTCCTAAGTATTTTTTGTCCTATGGCAAGTGGGATTACCTCCTGCTTTGCAGATGGTTGCTCCTGGTGTCTAACAGCGCCAGATTTTTATGTGGACTTTGCATCCTTCAGCTTTGCCGAGCCTGAGTTCTAATGGTTTGGGTAAGACCACGTCATCCGCAAGCAGTGATGGTCGGACAGTTTCCTTTCCCACGTGGAGGCCCTTTCCTCTCATCTGATTGCTCCGATTGGACGTCCAGCACGACGTGGAGTAGAGGGGACGTCCTCATCGTGTGCCAGGCACTAGAAAGCCTTCCGCTCGTCTCCACTCAGTGCAATGCTGGCTGTTCACGTGTCTGAACGCTGAGGTGTGTTCCGTCTCTGCCTGGTGCTTGCAGATTTATGAGGGGGATACTGGATTTTATCTGTACAGAAATAACCACTTTTTAAAAAATTCATTTATTTGAAAGGCAGAGTGACAGAAGCAGAGGGAGAGAGAAAGAGAGATATCGGTCTGTCTTCCATCTGCTGGTTCATTCTCCAATAGCCACAATGGCCAGAGCTGCGCCGTTCTGAAGCCAGGAGCTTCTTCTGGGTCTCCCACGCAGGTGCAGGGGCCCAAGGACCTAGACCATCTTCCATTGCTTTCCCAGGCCATAGAATAGAGCTGGATCGGAAGTGGAGCAGCCAGGACTTGAACCAGCGCCCATATGGGATGCCGGCACTGCAGGCGGCGGCTTTACCCACTATGCCACAGCACCGGCCCCAATAACCACTTTCTTGAAATTTCTGTCTAATCTTTCTTTTGCTTCTAAAGTTTTTTCTGCATATACGCGTGTCTCCAAACAAAATTGTTTCTACACACATAATTACACATACACCTAAGACATACGTAGTGTGTGTGTAGAGTATCTTTGGCTTGCTTGCTTTCTTTCTTTCTTTCTTTCTTTCTTTCTTTCTAGATTTATTTATTTATTTGACAGGTGCAGTTATAGAGAGGGAGAGAGAGAGAAAGGTCTTCCTTCTGTTGGTTCACCCCCAAAATGGCCACCAAGGCTGGCACTGCGCCAATCCGAACCCAGGAGCCAGGTGCTTCTCCTGGTCTCCCATGGGGTGCAGGGCCCAAGCACTTGGGCCATCCTCCACTGCCTTCCCGGGCCACAGCAGAGAGCTGGACTGGAAGAGGAGCAACCGGGACCAGAACCCGGCACCCATATGGGATTCTGGCGCCGCAGGCGGAGGATTAATCTAGTGATCCACGGTGCCGGCCCCTCGCTTCTTTCAGCATCCTATTTCTAAGAGTTTAGCGCTCAGCCGCGTGAATGCCTGCAGTAGTGCTCATTCATCGTCAGTATTGCGTGCTGTGCCGTCGTGTGGTTCTGTCCGCGTTTACGTACTCGCGGTCACACTGTTGGACAGCGGGGTTGGTTCGGCATTTTGACCACGAAGGGCCTGCTCCTCTGAACGCGTTTGTGTCTTCCTGGTGTCCGTGTGTCTGCAGGTTGTTTTCCGCAGTGGCGCCCCCAGTCTGTGCTCCCACAGCAGTGCATGAAGCCCCTCCTCCTGCGGCCTTCGCAGCTCTTGGGGTTGTGGGTTTCTCGACTGTTTCAGTCCCGGGGGTGTGAGATGTAATCTCGGTCTTCGCTCCTCAGTCTGCCCGCTCCTCAGCTCTGTCTGGCTCTCGTTCTCCTTCAGC